AGGGCCCGGGGGGCCGAGCGCCTGGCCAGGGAGAGGAATGGCATCCTGCAGCTCCTGCAGAAGGTAATGCAGCGGTCGGGGGGTCGACGTGCTCCCCGACCCTCGGGCTGCCCGCGGCAGGGGGCAAGGTTGTGCCGAGTCCTGCCGAGGTGCTGACAGCCGGGGTGAGCTTGGGGGGAACTGGCCATGGGGTCCCCCAAACCATCCCCTGCCTCTGCTCTCGCCCCGCGCTCAGGAAAAGGAGAAGCTCATCTCGCTGGAGCGGCGATACCAGCTCGTCACAGGCGGCCGGAGCTTCCCCAAAATGTCCTCAGCTCTCAGAGAGGTAAGTGGGGAGATGGGGGTGAGGTCCCTACGGCTGCTCTGCTGCCGCCCGGAGCTGCTGTCACCAGCGGGGACGAGTCTGGTTGCACCACAGGCTCTGCGCTGACACAGCTCCTGTGCTCCCAAGCACCTTCTGACCAGAGCCAGGTGCTCCTGGCTGCTCAGAGCCTCTCCGTGGGCTGCAGAGACCGTCGCCAGGTTGGGAGGGAGGGAGAGAGGGAGGGAAAGGCAGCAGAGCCAGGCTGGGGAGCAGCAGCGCCTGCCCTGCCGGGCTGCTCGGGTGCTGCTGGATCCCAGCGCAGTCCAGGCTTTTGGCGGCAGCTCCGCAAGGGCTGCGAGTTCCCATGGAATGGCTCGGCAGGGCTGTGGAGCACCTGGGACAGGCACTGCATGATGTCCTGTCCTGGATGGAGAGCAGACATGGGGGTGTGTCGGTGCCCGGAGGGGGGGCTCCCTTTACCCTCCAACAGGAGACCCTCCATATCTCAGAGCCTTATGAGCTGTTGGAGGGAACTAAGCCCCCCAGCCCCCTGCCAGCAGCAGCTGCCTCCTTAGCTTCTCCTGCCGCCCGCTCCTACCCCAAGGCACAAGAGGTAACGGGACTAACCGCACGTGCTTGCTCGCTTGCCCCCTCCTTGGCTGAGCCGCCGCCAGACCCCTCACGCAGACTAACGGTCGGGCAGCAGGGCATCAGCACGCTCAGCATCAGCATCTCAGCAGCACGCTGAGATGGCATGGCTGGGACATTTCTCAGTTCGCTCTCTGGCAGCTGTGCTCGTTAACACTCGGCCCCGATTGCAGGTGCTCTCCTGAGCCCGCCGGGCATCCTGGCTGCCGCTCCGTTTTAACCCCGGTGCGGTGCTGTGGCACAGGCATCCCTGCGCCTCCCCCTCGCCTGCCGCTGGCCCGCTGGCTGGGCACCCCCTGACAGCATCCTTTAGGGACCAGCTAGCCTGGCTGCCCCAGAAAAAGAGCAAGTCCCCAGCTTTAGCATGTTTGGTTCAGAAAGGGTGAGGAAGAGGATTTCAAGCTGGCTTGGAGCAGCTCAAGCTGTTGCAGCCGGGGGAGGCCTTGTGGCCGGGGATCCCGTGGGACCCCCAGATCTGGGTGATGGGAATGGCTGAAGGCACCCGGGGACTCGGCAGGGCAGCTGCAGCCCCACGTCCCCAGCCTGCACCCGGCAAAGCTGCGCCTAAGGCAGGAGCGAGGTGGCGTGCCGGGACGCCCAGCCCAGCTAGGGCACCCCGCTCCTGGCACGGTGCTCTGCACCGCGGCAGCCGCAGGCAGGGAGGGCAGCGAGGCAGGGAAGGGTTGGGCAGGTGCATGGGGGGAGACTCGCTCCTGCTTTGCGGTCAGGGCCGTGATGCCAGCACATGGGTCTAACTCTCCTCCTTCTCCTCCACCGTGGATTTCTAGGAGTACATGAGGCTGTCTGACGTTTTCAGGTTCTGCAGCAATGCGCACGGCCCCAGCCCGGACACTAAAGCTTCTGCTGCTGCCCCTGCTGCCGCTCAGCACTCTTTCTTGCTTGCTGTACCTCACGCAGCCGACGAGGTACCCGCTCCAGAGCATGCTCGCGTTTGCTCCCTTGGGTTGCCCGCCGCATCCCAGGCAGCAAGGATGCTGCAGTGGCCTCCCTGAGTGCCCTGGTGCTCGGAGCCCACCGCTCCCTTGGGCTGGGCGACTTGTCCGGCTGCAGCTGAGCAGGGAGCAGCGGCTGGAGCGCCAGTCTCTGTGCCAAGGAGCGCTTCTCGCCTGTTCCGGATGGGCTTTGCCCTCTGGGGTGGCGGCAGCGGGGCTGGGGAGCAGAGTGGGCGCCCAGTGGGGCGGGAGGGCGGCCCTTTGCCTGTTGGACCCAGTCCTGGCCGCCAGTCCCAGGTGGGAAGGATGCGGAGCAGGCAGAGACCTGACCCGGTGCCCAGAGCCGGAGCGGCGGACAGCACCAGCTGCCCTTCCTCCTGGGGATGTGGACCCTCTTTTGGGGGCTGCTCCTTCCTCTGTGCCTGCTTGCCCTTGCTTGGAGCCTCTTCTCCCATTTTAATCTGCTTCTCTCTGCCCAGTACGTGACCATTGAGCAGCTCTCGGGCATCCTGGGCGGCCTCCGTGCCCCTGCCGCTTCCCTGCTGGGCTGTGCCCCTCCAGCTCCTTCATCCTCAGGCTGTGCTGCTCCTCCTCCTCCTCCTCTTCCGTCTGTCTCTTCTCCCTCCAGCTCTGCAGAGGTTCGTGCCCCATTTCCCTGCCTCCTCCCCGCACTCTCCCCGGGCGGCAATGGGGATGCACAGGGAGGGGTGAGCTGAGCTGCGGGTGATGCTCTTGCCAGCCCGTGGTCCCCTCACTGCCCTGCCGCTGCTTCGCTGCCCACCTGGTGCCCTGCCCAGACCATCGTGCGGGGCAGGGGTGTCTCTGTGCCCTCCCGGCACTGCCATCGGCTCCTGCCCAGCCCTGTGAGCAGCAATGGGGTCCTGGAGCTGCCCGGACTCATCCAGGGAGCGCGCGGGATCCCTGGGGGTCTGCAGGTCCCATTCTTGAGGGGGGGGTGTGCAGGCTCAGGCAGGGATGCTCCAACCTCTCCGTCTCTGTGTGTCTGTCCCTCTTGCTGCATTTCACCCTCCTCTCTCACATGGCGTCTCTCTCCAGATGGAGCAGCAGCTGCCAGGGGGGCCCGTGTGGCTCCCGGCTCTTGATTTAGAGAAGTGGTACCAGGAGGTCATGGCTGGCTTTGAGACCTCTTCCTCCTCTCTCTCTCCTCCTTCTTCCCCTCCTCCGCTTCCAGCTAAAGCTCACTCCTCTCACAAGCCTCTCCAGGTAATCCTGGCTCCATGCTGCCGGGGCTCAGGCTTCGGGGCTGCCGGCCGCGGTGGGAGTGGGGCGGCGTGGGGATGTTCCTGCCGGGCACCCGGCTGCCGCAGCAGGCAGGGGCCGAGCAGACCCACAGTGGGCAGCATGCCTGGGGCCGAAAAAAAAACTTGCCCGCACCCCTGCCAAGAGGGCACCGACACAGGGGCAGGGTCTGGGGAGGGGATGCTCAGCCCCACTGACGGCTGAGCCGTCTATCCAGGGGGTGCTTTTGCAGCCCGGCCGTGCCCCTCTCACCTCCCTGTCTCTGTGTCCAGGTCTATCGTGCCAAAACGGAGGGCGACGCTGGTACTTTTACCCCTCGGATGAAGAGCGGGACCCCCTCATCCTCGCAGCTCAACCTCTCTGTGCTGGGGCGCAGCCCCTCGCCCAAGGTATGGCTGCCGGGGGGAGCTGGGCATCGCGTGGCCCCAGGCACCTCGGCTGTGGCTTCTGCATGCCCGGTGCCAGCCCCCCTC